ATCCCTCCCTCTCCTGCAGCCTCCTCTTCCTCCTCCATGTAGGCCTGCATCCCTGTCAGGATCCTGCATCCCTGGCCGGATCCTGCATCCAGTCCCGACCCTGCAGCTGCCTCCTCCCACCTCCTGCAGCATCCTGCCCCCTTCCCTCCTCCTCCTCCCTGCTCCAGGGTCCCCGTGCAGCCATTGCTTTCTCGCTGCCTCCCTCCTGCTCCCCTCGTCCCTCTCCTCCCTCCTGCAGGCAGCAGCAGCAGCCGCCTCCCCCCCACACTCCTCATCCATCCCACTCCTCCTTCCTGCATCCATTCCTCCCTCTGGCATCCTGAGCCTTCAACCACTGCAGACCTTCCATCCTCCTGCTCGCACCTCCTGCATCCTGCACCCTGTATCCATCGCCCTCCTGCACCCATGCATGCACCCATCCATCGCTCCTTCGGGAGCCTCCTCCCCGCTCTGGCACCACTTCATGTATTTATCCATCCCAGGCAGGGCCGGGCGCCATCCTGTGGCTGCTCCTCCTGATCCATTGGGGCTGCAGTCCCGGTTTCCCAGGGGCAGGCGGGAAGCTGCTCCTGGAGCTGGATCCGGCCCCCGCAGCCTGCATCCCACCTCCTGCTCCCGTCCCGCTCCTGCATCTTCCTCCTCCTCCTCCTCCCCTCGGCCAGGGTCCCGCAGGAAGCAGAGCAGGGCGCCAGGAACGGTTCATATATTTATTCATAAGCCAAGTTATCAATAAAAAAAGTTCCATACTAAAAGGCCTTTACATAGAGTTTGCTGTTCATAAAACCTTTGTGTTTTTAATCTTTTTTTTTCCTTTTTTTTATTTTTTTTGCCATTTTTTGCTGTTTGCATTTTTTTTTCTTTTTTTTTTTTTTTCTTTTTTTCCTTTTTCTTTCCTTTTTAGTGTTTACACTGGAAAAGCCCCCCCGCCGTGCCGGCCCTGTACACATTTACAGGCAGGGCGAGGGCGGCGCGGGGCCGGGCCGGGCGGGCCAGCGCCGCGGGGGGGCCGGGCCCCTATGTACAGAGTCCCCCGCTGTCCTCGTCCCAGCCAGGCTGGGGGCAACAGTGCACTGAAACGGAAACGCCCCCCGCCCCCCGCCCCGCTTTATTATTATTAATATTATTATTTATCCACGGCGCAACCCCCCCCGCCCGCCCCCGCTGCGGCGCCTCTCCCCTCCGGCGCCCCCCGAGGAAATACAATATTTACACGCAAAATAAATAGAACAACACACCTGATTTCTGCGTTACCTGCCGGCAAACAGTCCGAGGTACTAGGGAAATTATGGCTTGTCGGAGCCGCGCCGGGGCCCCCGCGTTGCATAAGGGCCGGGGGGGGCGGCGGGGTCCCCGGCGCGGGGCCGCGGGCGCCGCGGTCAGCACAGCACGGGGACGCCCTCGGCGGTGACCAGGCGGCCCGTGGTGGGGTCGTAGGTGCCCGCCAGGTAGTAGAGGTCCTGCCGGTCCTGGTACTTCTTGCTGCGGGTCATCTGCTCGTAGTGCTCCCGTCCCACCACCTGGCACTTGTGGGAGATGGTCTGCACGTCGTTCTCGTCCTCGTGGCACGACTGGTACAGCGCGTTCTGCAAGGGCGGCGCGGGCGTCACGGCGCCGGCCCCGCGCGCGCCCGCCGCCCCGCGCCCCACGCACCTTGCCGTCGCTCTGCCGCTTGCCCAGCTTGGTCTCCTCGGGGTGGTAGAACCACTTGACCTTCACCACCATGTTGCTGCCCCACGACTCCCACATGCTCTCGATGCGGCCGATGTAGGGCAGGTTGGGGCGGCCGGCCGAGAGGAAGACGGCGCAGTCGCCCACGCGCAGCGTCTCCTTGCCCCGCACGATGGCCTTGTAGAACAGCTTCCGCGCCTTGCCCTTCATGCCCCGCCGCTGCAGGCAGCACGCGGGTGCAGCCGTCAGCGCCGGGCCCCGTGCACCCCACACGCCCGCCCGCAGCACCCATGTCCCGAGGGGCTGCGTCCTCACGTGCCGAGCAGCTGCGCCCCACGCACCTGGGGGCTGTGTGCCATGTGGAGAGGCCCCACGCACCCAATTGCTGCACCCATGCACCAGGGTGCTGTGTCCCATGTGGAGAGGCCCCATGCACCCAATTGCTGCACCTATGGACCCGGGTGCTGTGTCCCATGTGGAGAGGCCCCACGCACCCAAATGCTGCACCCACACACACAGGGGCTGTGTGCCATGTGGAGAGGCCCCACGCACTCAGATGCTGCATCCACGCACCCAGGTTGCTGTGTCCCATGCGGAGAGGCCCCACGCACCCAGATGCTGCACCCAGGTGCTGTGCAATAAGGAGCCATGTCCTGTGCACCCGGACACTGTGCCCAGTGCACCCAGGCACCAAATACCACGGCGCAGGGCCCTGTGCACGCCGGTGCCATCTCCTTTGCACACCCAGGTGCTGTTGGTGCTCCCTGCACCCAGGCAGGGTCTGATAAAGCAGCCTTGCCCCGTGCACCCAAGCACCGAGATGCCATGTGCCCTGTGCATCACGGTACCTTATACCATGCACCCCAGTGCTGTGTCCTGTGCACTCACTGCAATGAGCTGTGCACCCAGTGCCATGACTTGTGCACCCAATGCTGTGCTCTCTGCACCCAGTGCTGCGCCCTGTGCTGCGCTCTCTGCACCTAATGCTGTGCCTTCTGCACCCTGTGTACCAGTGCAGTGCACCTGGGGCTGTGCCCTGCGCAGTCACTGCAATGAGCTATGCACCTAGTACCGGGCCCTGTGCACCCAGTGCTGGGCCCCATGCAGTCACAGCAATGAGCCGTGCACCCAGGACCAGGCCCTGTGCACCCAATGCTGTACCCAGTGCACTCAGTGCTGTGCCCTGTGCACCCTCTGCACTTAGTGATGCGCCCCGTGCACCCAGTGCTGGGCGCCATGCAGCCATGGCACTGAGCCGTGCACCCAGTACCGGGCCCTGTGCACCCAGTGCTGGGCCCCGTGCAGCCGGCGCCCCGTGCAGCGGCGCTGCGCTCCGTCCTCTCGTCCCTCAGCCCGCGCCGAGCAGCGGGAGCCGGGGCCCGCGCCGGGCTGGCCGTACCTGCGTGGGGTTCCCCGACCACCTCCAGAGCTGGCGCGCGGGCAGGAAGGCGGAGATCTTTGGCCGGTTTTCCACCGAGGGCAGGCGCTGCCGCCGGGAGAACTCTTTGGCTTTGGAGAAGCTGAGGGCCTCCTTGCGCTTGAGCTTGGCCTTGGGGCCGGCGGCGGCGGCCTTGGGGAGGAAGCAGCGCTGCGGGGCGCTGCTCTTGGAGCGCAGGGCGTCCGGCTGCGCCAGCAGCGCCGGCACCGGGTGCGAGAGGCAGGTCTGGAGCAGCAGCGTGGAGTCCTCGTCCTCGGAGCTGTAGGACGAGTCCTCGTTGTCCGAGGAGCAGAGGCTGGAGGTGGAGATGGAGCCGGAGCTGGAGGAGGTGGAGGAGCCCGAGGAAGAGGAGGAGACCGAGAGGCGAGTCATGAAGCGCGAGGGCACGTCGGCGCCCAGCCCGCCCGCCTCCTCGTCCTCGTCCATGTCCGAGTAGGAGCTGTGGCAGTCGCTGTCGCAGTTGAGGGCGAACTCGGCCTGGCCCGAGTACTTGCGCAGCGCCAGCCCCATGGGCAGCTGGTGCACGGGCGCCCGGCCCTTCCTCTCCTTGCCGGCCAGGGCGGAATGCACATAGCCGTGGCTGGCCAGGGGCCGCTCCAGCTTGGCCCCAAAGTCCTTCTCCCCCAGCAGCAGCGCCTTGCAGTTCTTGTTCTTGGGGGACGTCACCCCTTCGTGGTCCAGCTTGACCAGGTACTCAGTGCCTGCTTTTCTCCGGCCGCCTTTGCCCATTTCTGCCTCCAGCCGCTCGGCCTTCTTGGAGCGCAGCAGTTTCTGGGCAGCGGGCAGCACGAGCCCAGCGCCGGCCCCGAAGGACGTGTAGGAGCTGGCGATGCGGCTGAAGGAGTCGGCCCCGAAGCCGTTGCCGAAGACGGGGGCGGCCACGTGGTGGTGCACGGGGAAAAGCGCCTCCTTGGCGCGCAGCTTCTTGGCGCTGCCGTTGACCTGGAAGAGGTTCTGCAGCACGGCCGTGCCCTTGCTCGCCGCCCTGCGCTTCGTCTGCGCCACCGCCGACCAGCTGAGCAGCGGGGCC